CCATAGAACCAGCGCAGCCAGATGAACCCAAAAGCAGCAGCTCTGTGGCCGCAGAGCTGTCAAACCCCGCCGGCATCGCTGAACCGAACAGGCTGGTTCCGACTGCATGGAGGTTTGTTTGTCGGGACATTGAGACGGGCAAATAAAAGCTTATTTGGGCAAAGAGAAAGGTACTTCAATGCAGAATGGTACAAAAACAGAGTGGTTAATTCTTTGCAAACCACTAAACGAGCCTTCTGTGAAATATGCAGATTTGCTGCTGTCAAACGGCTTGTAACTTTCTCCAAATGTAGAGATGACATCGTTGTAAATACCGAGTTAATAACTGGAACTTTTCACAGAGCTTACTTCAGTCAAACACCAGTCAACATTCTGCTTGTCAAACAAGAGCGTAGCAGGAAAAAAGAAGAGATGGAATGAGCAACTGCGCTGTCATATGTGTGGGCTGGAACTGTATAGTTTAATTTACAGGAAAGGAGTGAGCAGAGGGCCGAGTTGTCCGTTCGTGTTCTGTTTTCTCTGACTATCTTCCTCCTGAACACCCTCTCAGACTTTCATTTGCTCGCGCTACTAAGAGACACGTTACCATGGAAACCAAACAATGGTATAGCTGTATTGAAGTCTGAGTGGAAACAGTAACATTTGGTGCATTATGTTGTAGAATGAAACAAATCAGATTTAGTCAGAAATCGGGAGAAATGCGGGATAAATATGAACCCGGGAGGAAAACGGGAGTCTCCCGCAAAAATCGGGAGGGTTGGCAAATTTGTCACATACACACGCACTTTTTGGCCCCCCCTACTTCTGAAATGAATCCGGCGCCGCTGCTTCACGGCGTATACTGCCACCCGAAGTCCCCGGCCAGAAGTCCCCGGAGTTGGGGACTGGCTTTTCGAGTAAATCGCCAGAACGCCGACACCTCCTCATCTCCACCGCTCCCATGTTTTATTTTGTGTTGCCATAAGTTAGTCTCCCTGCGTTGGTACGCGGGGCTAATGCTAATAATGCTAATGCAAGCAAATACAATGGTAGCTTCGCAAAACTTTTCAGAGTTTTACGGGGCGTGGTTTGCAATTCGCCCAGCCAATCGAAATTGGTACTTTTTTCTCCCCAGGAAAGTACCACCTCTCTAGCAGGCACTAAAAATGGGGGGAAAAGTTCTCATGAACTAAGTCCTCTTTTTGGTGTGAACGCAAAATTCCAGGCACTAACGGAGCTAAACGGGAAAAGTACGGGTAAAAGTACTCCGGTGTGAAAGCGCCTATTGACGTCAGGGACTGACATGGAAGTTGTAGTACCACCAATCAGCCACTACAACGTTTAACTCTCTTCCTAGGGGCTTGTTGCAAGTCAAATTTCTCCTTTTCCCTTTTGCTGGTGGAGGTCCTTCAGGTGTATTTGGTGGATTCTGGCCTGTAGTCATATTTCCTTGAACCTTGCAGCATTATATGCTCACTCTTCATGACCTGGGATGTGTCGTTGTGGGTTGGGTGGTACCAGCGGTGATGTTGGGGCCACATGAGGCAAAGTAGGAGTTCTGCATGGAGTACAGGCGGTCGATGGGGTTTCCCGCCCGACTCTGCAAGGAGCCGACATCTGGAGCGGCCATGAAACAGTCGCTTAGACTCGTGAGAGAAGTGTCACTGTCAAAGTCATGGAAGATGGAGTCAGTGCCTGGGAAGAGCAGAGGAGACAAAGAGAAGTCAAAGAGATGGATATTAATGTATTTAATACACTTAGGTTAGGGTTTACTCCATTACTGAGGGCATCTGTAACGAGCAGACAGAAGTTAACAAAGCTATACAGTATATTTACATGTATGTGACATGTGCAGAGTAAAGGTCAGAGTCATTTGTACAAACAGTGCAGATTTTATACAGTATGGGTCACTTTGAATGGATGACATGATTATCCCTTGATTGTGCAGCCTGATGGCTACAGGCACAAATCATTATCCGAGGTGCTTAGTGCTGCATAGAGGAAGGAAAGAGAATTCATAGCACATGTACAAATAAAACGACACAAACTCATGCACAGTCATTACCGTAGGGGTTCATGTGGTCACCAGGCATCTGAGGCGGCGTGAGGCCCTGCTGGAAGGGTTCAGAGTATCTGCTGGGATCCATCCCCAGCTGCTGGGTGAGAGGAAGATGTCCTGAGTACGAGCTGAGCAGACCCTCCATCGACATCCCATCTGTAACACAGGGAGCAGGATTTTAACTCTCAGACGCAGGGGTCACACTACAAAAACTCCAAATCTTGCCAAGTATATTTGTCTAATATCTAGTCAGAATATGTCTTCACACTTGCTATAAGACATAATAACTTCAGAAGTAACAATGCAATAAGATATAGGGTCTTGTTTTTAGACAATGCATCATCTTGTTAAGTCCAAAAATCTTATTTTGAGTTGTATCTCGGATGAAACTTGTTTTTTTCTCACATATTTATTGGAAAATCACCAACTAACATCAGAACACAGAACACTTTTGAGCATTTGCGGCTTACATTGTAAAACAACATTTCCTGATTCTGGTGAAATATAGTTCAAAATGAGTTCTCACAGCTAATTACAAGATCTGATTTATCTAAATATCCCTTCTTATTTCAAGAAATCTTACCAAGCTAATTTCCACTTGTTCTATTGGCAGATGTTTTTACTTATTTCAAGTGATTCAACTTGTTTTTGGAGCAGCATTTTTTCCAGTGCACATGGACATGAACACATCAAGGTTAGTTTATTTGTATAGCACATTTTAAGACACAGAGGCAATTTGAAGTGCTTCACATAATCATTAAAACAAACAAACACACAAACAAAAACCTCGTCTTCCTATACTTGTGAGCAGAGGTGGGAGAAGTACTCAGATATTGTACTTGAGTATGTGTACTTAATGCACATTTTGTTATGCAAACATTATAATATCCTGAACATGGTAAACATCTGAGTTTTAGCATTGTCACTGTGAGCATGAAATTAAAGTATGCTTTAAACTTCTTGCAGGTACAAACATCCGACCAGTTGGATTTTCCTCAGGTGGAAGAAGTACTCAGATCTTGTTCTTGAGTTAAAGTAGAAGTACTCAGATCGTGTTTTTGAGTTAAATTAGAAGTACTCAGATCGTGTAATTGAGTCAAAGTAGAAGTACTCAGATCGTGTGTTTGAGTTAAAGGTGACCTATCATGCAAAATGCCCTTTTGTATGTCTTTTCTACATGAATATGTGTCCCCGGTGTTCCACGGAACTCACCAAGTGTCAGAAAACACAACCCTCTCTATTTTCCTCCAAACCCAAATCTCTTAAAAAGGGGCTGCAACGGATTTGATACAGACTGATCCAGATTTGAACATTTCTATGACGTCACAGAAGTGGCGCTACGGCTATTGGGCCAACTCCACCAATCAGGAGGAGACAGCCACGGACATTGCCGTTGGAAAGCGCTGGAGACGCTGTAGTACATATGCCAGGCCTGTAGTTGGTGCTGTTCTCAAAGAATCAGCCCATGCAAAGACAGTGTTCAATTGAGCGAAATGAGGAATGGCTAAAATGCATGATCTGTTTGGTATTTTGAAAAATAAAAAGTATAAATATGCCTTATATAGGGATGGTGCAACACTATATTATTCAAATATAGCATGATAGGTCAACTTTAAAGTAGAAGTACTCAGATCTTGTACTTGAGTCAAAGTAGAAGTACTCATATCTTGTACTTGAGTCAAAGTAGAAGTACTCAGATCTTGTACTTGAGTTAAAGTAGAAGTACTCAGATCTTGTACTTGAGTTAAAGTAGAAGTACTCAGATCTTGTACTTGAGTTAAAGTAGAAGTACTCAGATCTTGTAATTGATTAAAAGGAGAAGTACCAGAGTGTAGGAATATTCTGTTACAAGTAAAAATCCTGCAATCAAAATGTTACTGAAGAAAAAGTACAAAAATATTAGCGAAGCAACGTAACTATAGTCCTGAACACAGACACTAAAACCATGCATTTATGTTCATACTGTGTGTATAAGCTTTACAACAAACAGGTTTTCTTATGGAAGCATATACTGTAAATGCATTGTCTAAACTGACTGACTGGCCTTGGTGATTTTGAAGATGTCATCCAGGAGGCTTCCTCTCAAGCTAACATCAATCTCAAACAACCCCCATGTGCTGGTTTGCTCAGCTCATTTGTTTAACAACAGCAGCTTCCACTGTAATAAAGCCCGCTGCTCTGCCAATATTGACATGCTGGAAGTCCCTGAACAGATAGAGGCAGCGCCTGCCAAAACACTGGGACACTTATCTAAACTGTGTGCAGCTCATATAGCTGAGAGACCACAGTGGCAATAAGCCTCCAGCCATGAGGGTCTGAGCTGCAGAAGGACTCATGTCTGCAGAACTCTTTATAGCATGGGACTCATCGTGAAGCTTGATAAACTGAGCGACTCTACTCTGTTTATTGCTCCCATAATACATTTAATATTTCAAGCTGTTTCTCCAAATAATTTATTAATTACAGAGTTCTCACTAATCGCTATCATCACAATTATAATGGAAAGATTACATGTTGCAGAGAGACATCACGAGTGCTTTTTACTTTAATAACGTCAGAGAAGCAGCTCACACACACGCACACACACACACACACACACACACACACACACACACACACACACACACACACACACACACACACACACACACACACACACACCACACACACA